GGGGGGGGGGGGGGGGGCGCTTGTCCTGCTCACAGCTGCACCCCCAGTGCCTACAACAGTGCCTGGGACCAGGTAGGTGCTGGGTAAGCACCTATGGAACGAATAACTGATCCATTTGTTTGTTCAACCGATGAAATAAAGTGCCCTACTTTTGAAAGTGTACACTGCTTCCAAGTTCTTACTATTATAAATACAATAACGAACACTTTTTTCAACTCAACAATAAAATAGTAAGACAACGTAGCTCTTCTATCTTGAGATAACTATATATATAAAAACTCATATTAAAGTACTACGTTGGACACTTTGTGGTACTGGGTCAAAAACAAACATATTAGCACAAAGAAATAAGGCCTCAAAGTTGATCCATTTGTACTAAAGGTAAGATCAAGTAAGCTTTCAAAACCAAGGGCAAAGAAGAGTTATTTACTAAAGACACTAAGGTAACTGTGACAGAATTTAGAGGGGCCAGGGAGGAAGAAAAGATCCCAGGGCTGAAGGAATCTCCATCTAGCTACTCAGGGTGCCAACTCCCCCTTAACTCGAGGGGCCCCTCCCTGCTACTGAAGCTGTGACACGGAGATGAAGGTGATGGCCTGTGCTTCCCCAGGAGCTGGCTAAGTGCTGGAACCTGAGGTTCCGTGCCCCCCCACCCCCGGTGCTACGGGACACTTCCCTTGCGAGAGGAAGCCTGTAAGCCCCTGTCCCGTGTTAGAGACATGCACACGGGCTCGTCCACAGCCCCACAGCACAGGCGGGGAGCAGGCGGGCGCCAGGCCCACAGCCAAGCGGAGGGCAGTGAACGGGGTCCGAAGGCTGAGCATCCGTGCAAGCTGGAAGAGCCGAGGGGTGAGGAGGCAGACGTCCGGGGCGAGGGCACGGCCTGCTGCGGAGCGCAGGCACCCCATCCCTCTGCTGCTGCACGGACGCCAAGCCCTCATAAGGCTCCAGGGCTGGCGGGACCCAGCAGAGAGACAGGAGGGCCTGCGCCACAGCACAGGGAAGGCGCCGATGGGCCTCGGCAGGGCGACCAATCTCGCCACGGGGGACGCACACCCGCCGGCGCACCGGCAGCCCGAGGGGAGGGCCCAGCCACGAGGACTCGTGCCGACGCGAAGCAGCACAGAGGCCCTGCCGCCTGGAAGCCTCAAGCCCCAGTCACACAGCCCGCTGGGCCTCATATTACGTTAGACTTTGAAAAATGGTGAGTTACTCGAGCTAGTGTTTGCTGTGAACGAGCGCTTTGTTTGTTCCAGTGATGAGTGCCTCTGAGCCCAGTTCTCTGAGTCTGGACCAGAGCACGGAACAAAGGAGCAGAGAATAAAGGCCTCTACCCACCCTCACGCCAGATGCACTGCCTACGGTTCCGTTTCAGCAAATACGAACTGTTCAAAAAACAACAAGCTCTTACCTTCGTTACAGGCTAGGTGGGCAAAAAAAGCAATGATCTGCACTGTTTTACCAAGCCCAGCTTCATCTGCCAAAACGCCATTGAGGTTCTTCCGGTAGAGCTTGGCCAGCCAGTCCAGGCCAATCTTCTGGTAATCTCTGAGGGCACCGTACAGAAGAGCCGGAGCGTTCAACTTCACCTGCAGGGGCAGACGGTCCCAATAGGCACATCTCAGAACAACCATTACAACTGTTGTCAGATCAGTCATATGATAAGCCTACTAGAAAGCCACAAAGATGATTTACAGATAACAGAAAAAGAAAGATCCTTAATTGTTTTTCCTGACAACCTCTGCCGTTGGGATAAAGAGCTCATTTGGAAGGAGGTAGCTTTTCCCCTTAACAGAGACACCATCCCTCACACAGGGCACAGCGGCTCACCGCGGTGCTGATCCGAGCACTGCCCTTGGGCAGGATGGCTTCGGCCACAGCGGTCACTTCCGCGATGTCCTTTGTGTGAGGCTTCCCGACAACCACTCTCTCTGTGGCTTTAAACTGGTCCATGATGAAGAGCGAGTCGATGAGAACCACACCCTTCCGGCTCTCCCGGTCACCTGAGCAGTCTTCCACGTCTGTGATCAATGGAAAAAGGGATTTGCGAGGTTTGAGAGGCTGTGATAGTATTATGAGGCCACTTAACATGACAAAAAAAAGAGAGAGAAGAGAAAAAAGAAAAGGAGTTGCTAGAACCCAAACACTTCAAAGACAGAACTGAGCAGCAAAGTTTTGTTTCTAATCCACTTTAGCTAGTTAACAATGTATCCAGATAAACAGGTACGAACTCTTATGGAGTTTGTAGGACCGCTCTGGAAGGCCCTTGGGTGAAGTTGGAAAATATCTGTGCAGCATCAGGAGCTAGTATCACCCAGAGATTTACAGCCATCTAAGGGTTTAGTGACCGCCCTCCACCACCAAGAATGGAAGAATCAGAAGCATCACAGCTTGGGCAAGCAAGGGGGCCACCGGGCCCCTCCTCGAGTCCCGCTGCAGCGTTGAGTCCAGCAAGCCCTGGCCTCCCCGCAGAATCTCCTGGGCCCCTCCCTTGCTGCCCCCCGCAGGCAGCCACGTCTATGGACCAGAACAGGGGGGATGAAAACAACACGTGGACTCTGCCGGGCGTAGTCTGTGTACCTCCTTGGAACGTCCAATAAAAGTCAAGTAAAGTCCTTAAAGTGGGTGTGTTAAACAAGCACAGCACAGCCTGGATAAATGATAAAACCTAGGCCCGTAAAATTTGTATAAATCTGGAGAAGAGTATTTCTGTGTTGTTCACAACTTGATCAAGTACTCCGATAATTATGCCAAGTTAACCAATAAAAATAAAAAGCACAGAATTTAATGAAACTATTAATATAAACTTTCGTATCAAATATATTTTCAACTTTTTATCAGACTGAAAGAAGTGAAGGTAATTCTTAAACTCTGTTTTAAGCACCCTTCCTCTGTTTAGTATTTTGACTTTTGTTTTCAAAGCTGAATTCTTCAAAGATGTTAAAACAGACCTTCGTCTTCACTTGTCTCTTCACTGTCAGGTTTAGGTTGGGGCCACTGGAAATTCGGCAGAAAGGCACCTTCATACAACTTCATCAAGTCAATTAAGGGCAATTCAGCTGGAAAGGATTGTAGGAAGAAAGATTATTTTACACCAATAGTGTCAGCAGGGAAGAAAACACAGTCAGGAGAAGGGCCCTTTCATATACAGTTGACCCTGAACAACTCAGGGGTTAGCGTTGCCTACCCTGCAGTGGAAAACCCGAGTGTAACTTAGTCTGCTCTCCTTGTACGAGGTTCCTCCACACCCGACCAACCGTGCATCATGTACCACTGTAGTGTTTACTATTGGAAAAAATCCACGTGTAAGCAAGTGGACCTGCGCAGTTCACACCCGTGTTGTTCAGGGGTCAAATGTATATTCCTTTTCCTAGCTTTAAATTAATTCCTTGGGAAATGTATGTATTTTCTAAAAGCACATTTATTTTTTTCCAAAAACTAATAATGACTGCCCATTACTGATACAAGATATACGACCTTTTCTTTATAAAGATGAGAATCTTTGAAGTGAAGAAACTCAACTTTTATTCATAAAGGAACAAATATTCCTGAAATAATCTTAATAAATGTACAGTAAAATCTACAGATTAATAAACGAAAATATAAAAATACTGATAGAAATAATCAGTGGAGATGATACATAAAAATACAAAACATCAAGTAAAAGTCAAAAATAAAACAAAAACTGTTCAAAAAAGATGATAAAATATTGCTATGGACTTTTTGTATAAAGAGCTCACCCTAATTGATCAAATAGCCCACCACACTGAAGCCCAATGGGCGAGGGATATGGAGCTGTCTCACACACAAAATACTCTAAAGGGCTCATAAAGTATCTCTCTAACTGAGCATCTCCAGAAACCAGTGCACAATGTATCCCCCACTGCATGGCAACCACCTTAAAACCGTAATGCTGGACGAATATAATGAATCAAACAGTCTCAACACTGCGGGTGATGGTATAAACAGGCTTAACTTTTCTGGAAACCAGTATGAAAAGCTGAAGAGCTTTAAATTTCATGCCCTCTAACGTCACTATTTCCCACTCCATGGGTCTGTCCAGGGGAGTAATCGGAAACTTGGACCCAGGTTTGTATTCACAGTTCCACTGGGTGTTATATATAACAAGGCAACGAACGCTGTGAGCTGTGTACCTGTGATACGTAAGCCTTTCTGCACGTACACCGTATGTCAATAAAATCTGTGGTCAAAGTAACGAACGCCACAGAGAAGCACCCCAAAAGAACAGTATTAAGGGCTCTCTTCGTTTAAGACTTATAATCCAGTGACTTCATTTGCTCATGATTTAAACTATTCGTCGTATGGGGCTGACAGGTAGATACATGATAAAGCGGAGACCAGCCGTGGAAGGGAGGCAGCGGGTGTATTGGGCGTTTGTAATAAGGTTCTTCAACTTTTCTGTTTGTGTGTTTTCATAACAAAATGCGGGGAAATGTACACATACATCATATAATGGCTATCAAGGTAGGAAAAAGAAAAACAGCAGAAACAACGGGAAAACTACCTCAAGAATGAGATAATTCGTAAGGTGCCTTGGAACAAACAACTCACAGGAATCAACAGCCTTCACACATATAAACTAGTTTGAAGATATAACGGGAAAAAAGATTCTATTTAGACAGAAAGTATTTCTATACTTCTTTAGACAGAAAGTATTTAAATACTTAGAATCTAGGTTTTTAAAAACTCACAACATCTACGTAAAGAAAGTGCTGAAAGGTTCACGAGGGGCACGAGAGGAGACTCGACCAGGAAGAGGCACCCCAGTGAATGGACGAAGATGTGCCCCCGGTGACACGGCTCCCTGAGGTCACAGCCTGGTCAGCTCCCCTGAGTGGCCAGGGATAACCAGGGTGATCGCCTGCTGTGGGGACACCAGCCACCGTGCCACCCCATCCTGAGGACGCTCGAACAGCCACCCGGAGAAGTCCCCGTGTAGGGGGAGGGACTGGGCTCGCCTGCCAACAACCATCCACCCGGCCAGCTAGGGGGCCAGCTGGGGTGGGCCGGAGGCTGGGCCTGCTGACGGCCGCATCTCCATGAGACCCGAGCCAGAAGCACCCGGCCGGGCTGCTCCCAATTCCTGCCCTACAGGAAGGGGTAGAGTACCTCCAAGTTAACACAGACTCTACCAAGTCAGGGATGCACACAAGAATCAGGAAGGCCTGCAACAAGAATGCAAGACAAGGTGTAGCTCAAAGGCTAAGAGAAGAGATAAAACAGAACACTGGACTTGAACCAAGCAGTCGTGAGCAACCACCACAAGCTACTGCCCTTCCGGGTGAAACTGTCCCCTCAAATCAAGGACAAGCCGACGGCTGGGAGTCCCTGGCGGCCCAGTGGTTAGGGCTCCACACGCTGTCACTGCTGAGGGCCCGGGTGCAATCCCTGGTCGGGGAACTAAGATCCCACAAGCTGTGTGGCGCATCCAGAAAAAGAACAAGCCAAAGGTGCCCACCATCAGCACCTCTATCTCTACACTTTATTGCAAGGAACGGGAATGGAAGGACCAGGATTATAAAGAAAAAACTGTTATTCTTCAGAGATGAAGAGGCTGTATACACACAAGTAACGTTGAGAATTTAGCACAGCTGCTGGATTTAAGATCAGTAAATAAAAATCAACTGCATTTCTACAGACCAGCAACAAATTAAAACATAATCTTAAAAAAAAATACCACTGATTACAACTTCAAAAAATATAATGCACCTAGAAATAAATCTAATAAAAATACGCAACCATAAAATGTTAGCGGAAGCTATTTAAGGAGATCTAAGTAAACGGAGAGGCTACTTTGATCATAGGTTGGAAAAGCTCTTCATAGAGGTGCAATTCTCACCAAACACATTTGAATCAAAATCCCCAACCAGTTTTTCTCTGAAACTCGATAAACTGATTCTGAGCTGTATCTGAAATAGACCCAAATTAGTCAAAACTCTCCTAAAAAAGAATAAGGCAGAAGGACTGACCTAGCTACGCCTCAAGAATTATCATAAAGCTAGAGTAATCAAGGGAGTGTGGTACTGGTACAAACTGACCAGTAAAACAATGAAGGTTCCAGAAAGAGCCGTGCGTATCAGGAAAACGTGACTAACACGTGAGCCGGCACTGAGCATCACTGAGGAATGATGGCCTTTTCAAATGGCATGCGGAGAGTTAAGTTAACCATTTGGGGAAAAAAAAAAGAAACTGCACTCTTATTTCACACTAGAGACAAAAGTGATTCTTGGTGGATTACAAACATCGATACGAGCGTAAAACAAAAATTTTTAGACAATGCACAAAGACATCCTTTTGATCCTGAGGTTAAAAAAATTTCTTTTAAACAACACGGACAAACTCAACTACACTAAAACTAAGAGCACCTGTTCCTCAAAAGCCACCATAAAGAGAAGGAAGACCCACCCCAGACTGGAAAAAGGTCACTAGGACACACGTCACTGACAAGGAAACGTGTCCAGAACACAGGAAGAACACCCAGAGTCAGTACAGAAAAGAAAACACAAAACCAAGTGGGCAAGGACAGCTGTGAGAAGACGCTGCGCCTCGTGGGTCACGCTCCCCCACCACAGGCAGACACCACCAGGCGCTCCTGGGACGCAGGGCCTGGCCCAGCGCTCCAACCACGGCGGGGCGCCGCCTCGTGTGTGCACGCCCCGCAAGCCGGCCCCCCTGCTCTGAGCACAGACGCTCGAGCACGTGTGCACAGGACACACGAGAGTGCTGCAGGCAGCGCCGCCTGTGAGGACAAACACAGGGAAACTTTCCACTGAACTGCCCACCAACAGCACAACCTCTAACCCGTGACACGTGCACACACAGACCACCATTCAGCCGTGGGCACTGATCCTGTAGCAACACGCCTCCACGGGGACGAAACTCGGGAACAGAACTGAGAAAGGCCAGAGGGTGAGCCTCCAGAGTGACTCCATTTATTGCAAGTTCCAAGACCCAAACAAAGCGGTACGTTCAGGATTCACGCAGGGGGAGGGGGAAACTGAGTGGAAGGAATGATAAACGCAAGATCCAGGCCGCAGTCACCCCCTGGGACGAGGGCAGAGGCAGAATGGTGCTCTCTCCGACACTGGGCGGCGTGGCCGCTTACACCGCACGCAACCTATTGTGGTTCTCATACCTTACGTGCGTGTTTCAATAAATGTTTAATAGAGCATCGCAGGAAGCCGCTCGGAGCCCACCTTCTCTGGCTAACTCCAACAGCTCCGCCTGGTGGTCCGCAGCCCCCTCCAGCGCCTCTTCCTCTGCAATCGTCTCCTCCTCGTCTTCCACTGGAACGGCCACCATCAAATGTCAGCGAGAGACCCCACGGCATCTTCCTCGCAATTACTCATGAAACGCTACAAGGCTCCAAAACTGTCATGCACAGCCATTAGAGAAGTGAAAACTAAGTCCTAATTTCTCAGGTTAAATCTGGAAGTGATAGTTTATTAAGTAAGCAAAAAACAAGGGACCATACTTTATACTTTCTCTTCCATTTCACAGTGTGAAATAGAGGCCGGTTTTCATCACATGACAGACCTACTCAGGCCAAAACAGGGAGCGATGTGGAACTTCCTGTCCACCTGCAGAGCCCACTACAGAAAGACCCACAAGCACGTTGTTCGGTGTCACTATGAATTCATCATCGCCCATTTCAGAGGCCCCAGCCCCTGCCCAGCTGAGGATTCCCCGAGCTCAGCTCCTGTCCGGCAGCTCCAGCCCTGCAACCCCACAGCCAGCTGGCTCCTGGTGGCTAAGAGTCCACCAGCACCCATGGCAGAGCCCCACCCACCCTCGGGCCACCTCTCCATCTGAGCTGAGCCCTCACCATGGCATGCCTTCCCTCCCGCTGACTCCTGCCCCCAACACGCACCGCCTCCCCTCCCTACCGACAAAAGGCACACGCGTGCACGCACACGCACGCACGCACGCACGCACACGGTCCGACACCTTCCCTCCTCCACAATCCAACTCCTCGTCTCTCCACTGCAAAACCCCACCATCCACCAAGGCACCCGGCCCCCAAGAGCATAAGCCACTGAGCCACCGGACTCTTCCAGTCCAGGCGGTACTCGACGCCCTGGCAGCACCGAGCGAGTTTTCCAGCTGCGCTCTCAGAGAGCCCTGCAGACAGCCAAAGCACCAGGGGGACAGACCTTCATCATCGGTTAAAGATGTGCTTGCTTTTCTTTTCCTTCCAGGTATCCCCGAATCCTGTGACACAGAACACAAATCGTAAGCGTGACATCTGAAAACATAGAACGAGAACCCAGAGCAGAACTGTCTAGTCAACATGCACCCGGGAGGACCTGGGAGGCCGTGCCAGGCGTGTCCACGGCAGACACCGCAAAGACGGGGAGGAGGCTGCGGGGAAGCAAGACGAAACCCACGCCTGCTCTTCCCAAACCACCATGGTAACACCCAGGTGAGCCTGAAACTGGAAAGAACCAGCTGTAGGCCCAAGGGGGACTGCTCTCCAGTGAGAGAGAACGCTATCATGCCTACGACTTCCTGCAGACAGACACCCCCTCGCACAGCGAAGCGACAGTCCCGAACTCACCACAAAGTTTTCCCGTAACGCATCAAGCCCTGTAGGTCTCGACTCTTTACCTAAAGAGACAGGTAACGTGATTCGCTTTCACTAAGGCAGCGGAGGAGGTGACGCTCCTCACACGACCATGGGCACCTGTGCCCGCCCCCCAAGGAGAGCAGAGGACAGCAAGGCGGGTCCCACCTCCCCTCTGCGACGCAGGGCGGCACAGCCATACCGCCACGCCCGCTCTCGGCTTCAGCAGGAACCTAGAGTCTCCAACCTGGCAAAGCTTCTCGCTCATGACTTGCATAATCTTAGAGCTCCGTGACTTTCAACAGGGACCACCTCCTTCACCTCAGTTTCCTCATCAGTAAAAGGGAGGAATCCTCCCCGCCCCCTCCCCAGGTTTCCAGTGATGGGGTAGCTACTGCTGAGCACCGTGGGAGCAGCACGACGCCTAGACACGGGGACTGCGGTGGGGCGGAGGGCAAAGCCGGGGGAGTTCATCTCACTCTCCGGGGACACAGGGGACAGGCTCAGAACCTCAATCCTGAGAGCGCCCCAAAGTTGGTCACCCTGGGGCTTATTGACTCATACTAGCGAATCTCGGCTGCTGAGTAAACAGCCTCTCGGGGGAGGCTCAGTGGGAAGCCACAATGTCACAAGGCAACAGTGAGCAGAGAATCCAGCAAACAGAGCCCGCAGAAGGGCAAGGCTTTTTAAAAAGTAATCATACCTTTCCGGGAAACTTTCTGGAAATTTAAAGCCTTTTTCCTTTTTTCTTCTAATTCTACTTGTAGTTTTATTTCCACAACCTAAATGCAAAGAGTTAAATAAATAAGCATGTTACTAAGAAATACAAGCTCTATATATGAAAACATTAAAACTCACACATGTAGACCAAAAGCACAGCTGTCCCAACCCCATTTCAGATTAGAGCTGACCCTTGGACAACGTGGATGTGAACTGTGCAGGTCCACCGGTACTCAGATTTTTTTCCAGTAGTAAATCCTACAGAGCTGCATGGTCTGCGGCTAGCTACGCCCGCAGCCGTGGAACCGCAGATGCAGAGGGCGGATGATGAGCTGTGTGCAGATTTTCAGCTGCACGTAGGGTTGGCAGCCCTAACCCCCCACGCTGTTCAAAGAGAAATGTTCAGTTTGGTACTCCTTCATTATTTTGTGTCAACTGCATCCTGCCCAAATTCTGTCAGACGGTAAGAAGAGAATTTTTACGAAAAGGAAGCAAGAGACAGAGCAAGCCCACTCTGGAACTAAGCAGCCTTTAGTGACCTGCACCAATACTAAACAGAACTACCGGTAGGGCCCCTCAGGAAGGCTCCCAGACACCACAGAGCGCACAGGCCACGGCTGATGGGGATTTCGATGCACAAAGAGAAACACAGAGGCAGAACCAGGTCTCCTGATGAGCCAACAGCCCAGAGGTGCCCAGGAGGTGCGGGCACCCGCCTTTCCTAAGGACGCCGCAGGCTCCACCTGTGGGAGTTCCCCATCGCACAGGCAGGCGGGGCTCAGAAGGCCGCCTCAGCAACCCCGACACAGTCTATGCTCCCAGGAGCCCATCAAAATTTCAGAATTTACCTGTTCAATATTTGACCAAAAATATTCTATTTCCCTAGCAGTGGACGCAGCTATCCGTCTCAGCCGGTTCTGCTCTTCTCTCCTTCCCCGCTCCTCCCGAAGCTGCTTCTCTTCGTGGTGACGCGCCACAGTTCTGACAAGCTAGCAAATGAAAGTCCAAGAATTTTACGTGTGCGCTGTGTCATGCTATCAGAAAAAAGATACATGACGTTTCTTTAAACTCTTCTCAGCCCGTAACTACATATAATCCACAGAGAGACACACCCTCACTTACCCTAAGGGCGCGTGGGAGAAATGCTGATTCCAGTGAAAACCACCACCAACGATCTGCCTGACTTTCCTGCAAGTGTTATTTTACCAAACACACATATTTTTCTCCAAAATGGAATATCATACTGTGCTACAATCGTCCATTCCCCCTTTAATATATGAGTAACATCTTTCCATCAATCAACACAGATCAAAATCATTTTTAATACGTATCATTTCCACTGCGTGAATGCAGCCAAACTTAACTCCTAGGATTAAAAAAGTTGGGTTGGGATAATTCACGTTTTTTAAGGCTTTTGCTTTCAACTGCCAAACCGCTTTCCAGAATTTCTACTCTTTACCTCCTCACCAGCTGTACCTCCAAAAGGTGCAGAGAAGTAACTCAGAAAGGGACACATCCTGAGCCCCGAGTGCAGCGGAGCTGCCAGCCTCTCAGCTCTGGGATGCCCCCGAGGCGGCCGCCCAGCACAGGACTCCCAGGGCCTTGCCCTGGTCAGCGTGCACCCCTCGCACAAAGCCGCCGGCTCCTGGGGGTGGAAGGACGGCGCGAGGAGGGGCAGCACAGCGCGCAGCCGCGGCCCCTGGCTCAGCTGCCTCTCAGCTCCACCGCTCAACGCCCATCCCTGCCCCTCGGCCCCGGCCACTGCCCTGTCCAGCCCTGCGTCCACATGCTCAGGACCATCAACTTTCGTGAAAAAGGAAATGTTTAAGGAGCGATCTGGTTTTTTTCTTAAACACGCATGAATCTGATTAAAGACCCTTTACACTCAGACCCTGCTGTTACCCCCTGGGTCTCGGCTTCTCTCTACCAAAACTACGTGGGGAAAGCAAGGGGGAGAATTCAGAGGAGGGAGGTGGACAGGCCAGGCACACAGAATCAATCCCCAGTCCTGAGAGTATAGGAAATATGAAGGCAGCATCCAGGTCCCGAGGAATAAAGACACACAGTGATGGAGGGAGAAGCAGCTGGGCCTGGAGCTATGTACACGTACGCAAGGACAGCTGCTCTACACTCTGGGACCCAAGAGCCCTAGAAATCTGTCACTCTCCACACTGCCAGCTTTAGCAGTAGCATCTCCTAGAGGTCCTACCCCGGGCTGGGTGCCTACTTTGGGAGCAGAGAGAAGGAAATAAATTCTGAGCCAAAACTGGAGAGAAGCTGGACCAGAAGACCAGGCAGCACAGAGCAGGCAGGCTGCGGGCAGCCAGAAGGCCGGGATGAGTGCCCGAGCTGCCGGCCAGCCACCTGGCCTCTTCCCCCTTCCTACTCTCAGCCTGGATCTGGGGGGCTGCAGGCATCCTCATGCCAACTGCCAGGGAAAACTGGCCAGAAAAAGAACCCAAATCCCAGGATAGAACTGCAGCAGAAGGGCCGTGTCTGTTCCCAGCAGTCCACACTAGAGCACTGGGGACAACCCTCAGAAATGAAGCAACGCAGCAGTTACTTTCTAAATAGCAGCAAAACATTCTTCAGCTACATCGTAAGTTAAGATACTCTTTAGAGGGACTTCCCTGGTGGTCCAGTGCTTAAGAATCCGCCTTCCAATGCAGGGGACGCAGGTTCGATCCCTGGTTGGGGAACGAAGATCCCCCATGCCGTGGGGAAGCTAAGCCCACGCACCTCAACTAGAGAGCCCACGCGCTGCCAACTACAGACCCTACACGCTCTGGGGCCTGTGTGCCACCAACTAGAGAGCCAACACAGCCAAATAAATAAATATTTAAGAAGAAAAAGAAACCGTTTAGAAAGTGGGGCTGGGAGACCTCCGTCCGCACACTTCAGCCCCTGGCGCTGCTTGATGACCCCTGGGCACCGCGGTGGCCTGTGTCTCAAACCCACCTTCTTGGCAGCAGCCACCTTCCACCTCCTCTCCTGGGCAAAGTCTGTGGCCATCCACTGCATCTCCTCTAGCAGGTAGTCCCAGTGCGATTTGGACCGCGGGGCCTCCTGCAGCTTGGGCAGCCGTCTGAGGGACCACAGGCCTTCTTTCCTTAAATCTGCTATCCGCTGATGGATCTGGTTCTCCTGCAAGGAGCACAGGGGTGGAAGACGTCCAGCACAGTTTAAGTGCAAGCCACCAATGCACACCCCAGTCAGTGCGACCCTGCTACGTGGAAGTCTCAGCAACAAAGAAGAGTTGCTGAACAAGGCTCTACGAGAGGGCAGAGGCAAGGGCGTGCGACCCCCGGGAGCCCCGTCCTGGAAACCCAGGACGGAGCTCCCAGGCCAGCGCTCACGGCAGAGCACGTACAAATAACTGCTCAGCCGCCCAACAAACAGCAAACGCTCACTAGGTGCAGGCCGTGAGCTGCACTGGCCTGGGCAGCCTCCCGAGGGCTCTGAGCTCTCAGCCTGCACCCCACACCCCCCCTCCCCCGACTGCTGACACCGGCGCAGAAAAGACCTTCTCCACACCAGTCTAGCTGCCCCTCCGGCAGGACAGCGCCAGCTACGCGGTTTTAATCTTGGCGTCTCCGGATCATAAACCTTACTATCAGGTGTTCTGCCCCCTTAGAAAGTGACAGCGCGCGCGCTCCATGGGCCGGAGGGCAGGTGGGCTCTCCCCGAGCGCCTTCGAGAGCTTCTTCAGGCGCACTTACCAGCGCTACCTGCGCCGCCAGCTTGTCCTGAGAACCGTCGTGGGGCGCGGCGGCACTCTGAGCGGGGCTCTGTGGTTTCGGGGGCGCTGACACGGCTGCCCCCGGGGAGCGGGCGATGACCGGAGACAGCGACTTGGCTGCCGGGGAGGGTCTGTTCACCGGGGAGGCCCGGGCAGGCGAAGGCCCCGGGCCTGAGCCACTGGCGGGGACAACGGTCGAGGCCGAGGAGGCGGAGGGCAGCGGCCGTGGGCAGGGCTGGGCGGGGTCCATGGGCGGTCTGGGTGGCGCCACCGTCTGGCAGGGAAAACAGGGCTCAGCGCCATGCCCGGAACCCACAGGCCGGCTGGAGGCCCCTGTGCAATGCCCCTCCCTCTCCCCAGCACCGCAGACTGACCAGTGGGCCCACTGCGGACCACAGGGCCACGCAGGCTAACCGTGTCTACAGAAGAGAAGAAGCCTGTTAGTCCACAAAGCCACATCAGAGCTCCCTGTAAACGGTGCCTTCGCATACGGTCTCACGTCGGGTTTCTTTTTCTTTTTTTTTTTTTTCCTTTTTCAAGTAATTTTTTAGAATTTCTAATTGTAGAAACTTCTTAACTGAGAAGTACCAAATGCTCACCGTGCACCTGTTCTCTGAAGGGCAAAGACAAATTCCACATGGCCCTCTCGCGGTGTAAGGTTAGAAACCCTCCTCTGTGCCATCCCGAGAGCCGAGCTTGTAAAACTGAGGAGCCCCTCCGCCCAGCCCTCCTCGGGCCGAAGGTGAGCTTAGATTCACACGGGAATTCCGGCCGGGAGGAAGCGGGGGGACAGAGAGCAGGGAAGGCAAGGTCCTGCCGCGCCAGGAGGCCTGAGGACAGAGCGACGCGCACGCGGCACGTTTATGACCCGCGGTGCGGACGAGACACCGCAGCCAAGGCCAGGCCCCTCACGGCGTGCAGCTCCTCCGCCCACCTCTAAGGAGATTTCCTCCACCTCAGCGGTCGGTAAACTGCGGCCGGCCACACACTTTGGGAGAGTTCCACAGGCCACGGCCGCTCATCTGCGGGCTGTGGCGCTGCTCTCAGCTTCAGCGGCGGAGCTGAGCGGGTCAACAGGAAGCACACGGCCTGCACACCCTGAAATACCGTTACACTCCCTCTCTGTGGCCCTTTACAGAAGAAGTCGGCCGGCCCCGCCCAACCTGGAAGGAACAGAATATTCCACAGCTTCTGTAAGGAGCTGCTTCTAAAATCACATCCCACAGCTCACAGCGTCGACAACAAGGGCGGGAAAGAAACCCAAGAAAAACGTCAGTGCTGCGTGAGGTCGGTGCCAGGCTCGATGACAGTATTCAAAACAGAGAGCCTCACTTCCACGGAACCCTCAAGCCCGCAGAGGCCAAGAAGCTCAGCGCCCTGGCGGGAGAGGGGGTGCTCCTTCCCAAGGCGCACAAAAGGCCCCACAATCAACCCAGGGGGCCAGTCACAGACCCTCCAGCACTGGCTGGCCACCCGTGCCAAGTTATCTGGCCTCTCTGGCCTCGGCCTTTCCATAGCTAAGGGGCGTGATAAAGATTCGACCACAAAGGGCTGCCAGGTAGAGGCGAGCAAATGATGGCCCGGAAGCGCGCGTCGCCACGCCTCGCACCTGGCGGGCGGCGAGTGAGAGGCGGCGTCCTCACGTGGGAGTGAGCTTCTACAATCACCGGAAGAGCTCCCACCCCGAGCCCAGCTAGGGAATCCCCTGCTAACGAGGGAGAGGGGAGAGGAAGGGGAGGCTTTCCTGAGCAGCTGACCGCACGCTGCTGAGTCAAGCCTCTGAAAACACTGCCTCTGGCCTCTTCGGTGCCCCAGACCCATGCTTCACAAACGCACTGCTCCTCAGGGGCCCCACGTGGTCTACTGTACACGTTTCAAAAAGACGTCTGGGTGAAGTGAATTTGTGGACGAGGAGGGGCATTATAAACCCTGGAAACGTGTATCAAGCCTGGAAAGCAGCCTCACCCATGCTGGTGGAGTGGAGCGTCCGGGGGAGGCACCGTGGACAGAACCTGGCAGACGGTCAGGAGCTGCAGGGAGCCCCACCACCCCCAGGCCTTCGCTCCTATGACCTCGAGTTACTCGGCACATCAGGTGGGACAAGAGCCACCGTGTCCTGTGCGTGGCTCCCTGTGCCGAGAGCAGCACTCAGAATCGTGTCGTTCTCTGACATTTTAATAACAATAACTACAACTGCACGGTAAATTTACGTTGCAGCTACTGAACTAACTGACTGTCGCACGGTGGAGAGCGAAGCGCTGGGAGAGAGGGAGTTACCCAGCTGGGTACCATCCCGTCCAGCACACAGCCTGTCTCTTCTTCCACCTCTAGCTCGGGGAACGGCAGGGGCCCGGAGTACCTGCGGCTGGGACGGGAGCGGAGGGGCCTGCATCTGCGCCTTCGTGGGCACCGGGACGTGGAGGGCCGCGGGGAGCTGGCCGGGCGGGGGTGCCGGGGCGGGGGCGCTTGGCGGCTGCGTCTTCACTGGCACCGGGAGCGGGGTCTGCGGCTCCGCCGTCTGCGGCTGCGGGGGGAACTGCAGCGCCGGCGGCAGGGGTGCGGCAGGGAGGCCGGCCGGTGGCAGCCTGGTGGGCAGCTGCGGCGGTGGCGTGTGCAGGCTGGCGGCGTTCTGCACCGGGGGCCCCGTGGAGGGGTCGTACCGCTGCTGGCTCTGCTTCTGGCCGGCGAGCTGAGCGGCCTGCGGCGCGGGTGGCATTCCCCCTGCAACAGAGGGTAGACCCAGCGGCCCTGACTCCCAGGCTCGGACTCCACCGGCCAGGGCTGCCTCAGACCCTGTGCTCGCAACACACACACTCAAACGGGAGGTTTACCTGGTGGGAGATCTCTGTGTATTAGGTCTAACGTGATAAATGAGCACACAACAAAGGAAAGGAAGGCCTCGGCCTTTGCGAGTTAGCATCAAGCAGAGCAGGCACGGGATAACCGCAGGGTCCCTACCACAGCAGCAAGTCAGAAAAAACACAGGAGGGAAAACCGGAGAGAAGCTGAGGACAGTGGGACGTGCGGCTCCGCTAAAGTGACAAGAGCTGGTCTCCGGTGGTTTCTTCATACCGTGTGAAGTGGGACTCAGAGGAACGTCCCAATGGCAGAAACCACCTCAGATATGCTACCTGGACTGCACGCGTTTTCGTCTGCTGCTGCTTCCCTAAGCCCTCTCTGCACTCCCTCTTTCTGAGCTAAGAGAGCTATTTCTGGCGCTGGGTCTTACCTTGAACTGTCGGCATTAACTGCTGGAGAGGAACTCCTGTATTCACCCCTGGGTGCTGGAAAACTACCCCTTGGTGACCCACTTCGAGTCGAGGTCTCTTAGACTGCTCTAGAATAATTTTCAGAAAAGGTGCAGTTTGATGTAAAAATAAAACCACAAAAGTAGTAGAAAAAACATGTGTAAGTGTTTTTATCATCTTTGAACAGAGAGGCCTTTCTATGCATGAACCAAAATGCAGAAGCCATAAAAGATAGGGTTGATAAATATAATTTCTTTCCGTTAAAAATTTGTAAATATAAGGAAAAGCATCATAAAAAAGGCAAAGGACAAGCGTCAACCTAAGAGACAATTATCTGCAACATACATAACGGGCAACATTCATAAAGCTCTTACAAATTAATATGAAAAGGATCAACAACCAGAAAGCAGAATGGGCAAACAAAGAACACAAACAACGAGCAGAGGGACACATTCACAAACGGTTAAAAACATGAAGAGGTAACTGAAGCCGCATCAAAATTAAAGGAATCCATTATCAAAACAAAGATTTTATTTTTACCCATTGGATCGACAAAGATTAAAAGATACTTAATAAAATGGCCAAAATTTGAGAGAACCAGAAATTGCTGATGGGAGCAAAAACTGACCCTACCCTTTTGGAGGGCAACTTAGCCTCACTAATACTTAACTATGCACACATTTTGATCTAGCAATTTCACTCTTGGAGCGCTGCTTTCAGATACATGGACAGACATGTATAGAAAAAACTGTGAAACTAAATGTTCAGTCAGGTTTTGATTACAACAGAAAAAAGGTGATACTAACAAATGAATGCTAACATGGGTCTGGCGAATAAAGAAGGAAGCACCCATGCAGTGGGTGCAGTATTTTGCAGCTATCAAAAAGAATGAGGTCCATGACTGGGAAAGATGGCCTAGTCAGTTAATATTAAAGACATAACAGTGTATATATATATACAGGATCACATTTGAACTTTTTCAGAATGACACACCTGTAGCAATGCCTGTCTGTGAAACTGAACAAACGTAGCCAGCTCTGTGGCTAGGGAATGGGGAAGGAATACCAAACCAGAGACAGACTTAAACTACACCCTTCTAAACTGTTTGAATCTTTTATACAAAATGTGTATTAAGTTCCTAACTTGGAGAAAAAATTCAGTTTGAAAAATGAATGACAATTTGAAAAGGCAGATGGCTTTACACTTAATCATGTCATGAGGACTAAACAGCCTACAAATGCACACAGAAAATCAAACTGGAATATACCTATTCAACTGACAAATTTCTAACTTCAGTACACATAAACATGCACATAAATATTTTGTTTAGCTGATTACCACCAAAAGAAAAATTAACTTTCAAAGTAGAAACTAACCAAAACTAAGTTCCTTAGGGGCCACGCTTTAGAAACAGGTGGCCACTACACTGGAATTCCCAAACTAAGATGCTAACTGGCTCCGGGGGGCCCTTCAGCCTGTGCTCCGTGACATACCTGCCGGAGGTCCCGCCTGCTGCCTCTTAAAGGGGTCCGTTTCGATCACACTGCCAGCCCCTGCCACAAGGGTCCCTGCAAGGGCTTGTTGCTGGAAAGAAAAAAAAAAAAAAGGAAAAACTGAGATTTTCATAATTTAAATGCATTACAAGAATGAATATAAACTAAAACTATCATAATTATCCCAAACACTGACTTCCCTTCTTTTTAAGAAGAGAAATGTCATCTACCCGATGTATTATAATAAATAATTTAAAGTTCTAACTTACCTCTGGAGGATAAAAAAGGATTTGCATTCTGGTTTTAAATGGAATTTCAGTTCAATGCAAATCTAGAGTCCTTCAGAAACGAGCTGGCTTTGCACACACAATGACAGCAGAAGCTAATGCAGGAAACATCAGTCTCAGCAAGGACTACAACTTAGCCTCCTGACCAGTCACACTGCCTGGCATCACTCAGCCACCAAAATCACAAAAGCTGAATGGTAAGAAGACTGAGATTGTCTTCCTACTGGAAAATGGCACTAAAACTCCAATTAAGCACTATCTAATTGACTTCAAAATGGTACTGCAGTTAGTACCCTACCTGATATATAACTGTGTGAAATACATACAGGCTATTTAAGATGTTTAAGTGAAGAGCTCCTGGCAAAGACAGAAACTAGCTGACTCTGGGCGCCCTAACCTTTGACACCTCTGCACCACCCCTGAAGGGCTGCTAAAGGCTAAGCGTGATGTTTAACAGCTGCTAACTTTTTAAATAATTCAATTATATCCACTCTACTTAGCAAGGCATTTTAAATGCAGAAGTTCCAGATGTCTGAACGAAGAAACTGCCTGTGAGAGTGGATACTGACCCCAGCATCCCTAGGAATGGACACTACACTGCCAGGACCAGTCATGCTGCAGGTTTTGCCTCACGTGGGGAAAGGCCTCAGAGTAATGAAAAGGGAAAGTAAGCACCCCCTGTTTACATTTAACAAAGATGGGGGAGGAAGGAAGAGAGGGAAGGAGGGAGAAGAGAAAAGAATGATTTAGAAAACAGACAACATGTGAACAGTGGTTGCCTCTGGGGACAAGATTACAATCAATTTATAATTTGTGTGTGTGTGCACTTTTCTAAATTTTCTAAATGTTTTACAATGAACATGTTTTACTTCTGTAATCAAAATAAGGTTTTGTTTTTTTTTTAATAAAAGAAAAGTGATACAGGGTTCTGTGTCCAGTAATGGCCAAGTACTTCCTGTTGGACTAAACACATTCAAGATAAATATAAACTCTAAAAGAAATATAAAAAATATGAAAAGGTGGGCAGATACAGCATGGGCCTCGATACTTGCAAGGAGGGAATGAAACTAGGAGACGCTTCTGCGTTTACGGCATTTGGCACAAGGGCAAGCCCCAGTCTCAGACCCAGACAGGGAGGGTCTCACCGGCTTGAAGACCACTAGGATGGAGCGTAGGAGATCAGAGCGGAGACACAGGTAAGGGAGAATCGCCACAGGAGGCAGCAGAGATGGGCCCCAAGCTCCCCTTTTTTCTGGCTGCCTCCTGACCACCCCACATGCCAAGACGCCAAGCACAGGCCAGCATAACCAAACTGAGATCTCAGGAGACAGAGTCTACAGTTTCAATCCAATCACATTAACTAGATGTGAAAGCAAACCAGCAGAACTCCTCAGAAGGATATAACAGAACTCAGGGTCTCTGCAACCTATCATTCATGACACCCAAAACCCAATTCAAAATCAATCAACGTGATACACCATATTAACAAACTGAAGGATAAAAACCATATGATCATCTCGATAGATGCAGAGAAAGCTTTTGACAAAAGTCAACATCCAATTCTGATAAAAACCCTCCAGAAAGTAGGCACAGAGGGAACTGACCTCAACATAATAAAGGCCATATATGACAAATCCACAGCCAACATCGTTCTCAACGGTGAAAAACTGAAAGCCTTTCCTCTAACATGAGGAACAAGACAAGGTTGGCCACTCTCACCACTATTATTCAACATAGTTTTGGAAGTTTTAGCCACAGCAATCAGAGAAGAAAAGGAAATAAAAGGAATCCAAATCGGAAAAGAAGTAAAACTGTCACGGTTTGCAGATGACATCATACTATACATAGAGAATCCTGAAGATGCTACCAGAAAACTACTAGAGCTAATCAATGAATCTGGTAAAGTAGCAGGATACAAAATTAATGTACAGAAGTCTCTTGCATTCCTATACACTAATGATGAAAAATCTGAAAGAGAAATTAAGGAAATACTCCCATTTACCACTGCAACAGAAAGAATAAAATACCTAGGAATAAACCTACCTAAGGAGACAAAAGACCTGTATGAAGAAAACTATAAGACACTGATGAAAGAAACTGAAGATGATACAAGCAGATGGAGAGACATACCATGTTCCTGGATTGGAAGAATCGACACTGTGAAAATGACTCTACTACCCAAAGCAATCTACAGATTCAATGCCATCCCTATCAAACTACCAATGGCATTTTCCACAGAACTAGAACAAAAAATTTCACAATTTGTATGGAAACAGAAAACACCTCAAATACCCAAAGCAATCTTGAGAAAGAAAAACGGAGCTGGAGGACTCAGGTTCCCTGACTTCAGACTATACTACAAAGCTACAGTAATCAAGACAGTATGGGGCTTCCCTGGTGGCAGAGTGGTTGAGAATCTGCCTGCCAATGCAGGGAACACGGGTTCAAGCCCTGGTCTGGGAAGATCCCACATGCTGTGGAGCAACTAGGGCCATGAGCCACAACTACTGAGCCTGCGCGTCTTGGGCCTGTGCTCCGCAACAAGAGAGGCCGTGACAGTGAGAGGCCTGCACACCGCGATGAAGAGTGGCCCCCGCTCGCCGCAACTAGAGAAAGCCCTCGCACAGAAACGAAGACCCAACACAGCCAAAAATAAATAAATAAATTTATTTAAAAAAAAAAAAAAAAAAGACAGTATGGTACTGGCACAAAAACAGAATCTACAGATCAACAGAACAGGATAGAAAGCCCAGAGATAAACCCACGCACATATGGTCACCTTATCTTTGATAAAGGAGGCAAGAATATACAATGGAGAAAAGACCGAAGTGGTGCTGGGAAAACTGGACAGCTACATGTAAAAGAATTAAATTAGAACACTCCCTGACACCATACACACAGAAAAACCTCAAAATGGATTAAAGACCCAAATGTAAGGACAGACACTATAAAACTCTTACAGGAAAACATAGGCAGACGCTCTATGACATAAATCACAGCAAGATCCTTTTTGACCCACCTCCTAGAGAAATGGAAATAAAAACAAAAATAAACAAATGGGACCTAATGAAACTTGAAAGCTTTTGCACAGCAAAGGAAACCATAAAAAAGACGAAAAGACAACCTTCAGAATGGGAGAAGATATTTGCAAACGAAGCAACTGACAAAAGATTAATCTCCAAAATATGCAAGCAGCTCATGCAGCTCAATATCAAAAAAAACAAACAACCCAATCCAAAAATGGGGAGAAGACCTAAACAGACATTTCTCCGAAGAAGATATACAGATTGCCGAAAAACACACGAAAAGATACTCAACATCACTAATCATTAGAGAAATGCAAATCAAAACTACAATGAGGGGGCTTCCCTGGTGGCGCAGTGGTGAAGAATCTGCCTGCCAAGGCAGGGGCACAGGTTCGAGCCCTGGCCCGTGAAGATCCCACATGCTGCAGAGCAACTAAGCCCGTGCGCCACAACTACTGAGCCTGTGCTCAAGAGCCCGCAAGCCACAACTACTGAGCCCACGTGCCACAACTACTGAAGTCTGCACGCCTAGAACCCATGCTCCACTACTAGAGAAACCACCGCAATGAGAAGCCCGTGCACCACAACAAAGAGCAGCCCCCACTCGCAGCAACTAGACAAAGCCCGCACAAAGCAACGAAGACCCAAAGCAGCCAAAAATAAAAACAAACAAATAAATAAATTTATAAAACAAAAAACCAAAAAACTACGAGGTATCACCTCACACCGTTCAGAATGGCCATCATCAAAAAATCTACAAACAATAAATGCTGGAGAGGGTGTGGAGAAAATGGAACCCACTTGCACTGTTGGTGGGAATGTAAATTGATACAGCCGCTATGGAGAACAGCATGGAAGTTCCTTAAAAAACTAAAAATAGAACTACCATACGACCCAGCAGCAATCCCACTACTGGGCATATACCCTGAGAAAACCATAATTCAAAAAGAGTCATGTACCACAATGTTCACTGCAGCTCTATTTACAATAGCCGGGACATGGAAGCAACCTAAGTGTCCATCGACAGATGAATGGATAAAGAAGATGGGGCACATATATACAATGGAATATTACTCAGCCATAAAAAGAAATGAAATTGAACTATTCATGGTGAGGTGGATAGACCTAGAGTCTGTCATACAGAGAGAAGTCAGTCAGAAAGAGAAAAACAAATACAGTATGCTAACACATATATATGGAATCCAAAAAAAATGGTTCTGAAGAACCTAGGGGTAGGACAGGAATAAAGACGCAGACATAGAAAATGGACTTGAGGACACGGGGAGGGGGAAGGGTAAGCTGGGACGAAGTGAGAGAGTGGCATGGACATATATACACTACCAAATGTAAAATAGATAGCTAGTGGGAAGCAGCCGCATAGCACAGGGAGATCAGCTCGGTGCTTTGTGACCACCTAGAGGGGTGGAATAGGGAGGGTGGGAGGGAGACGCAAGAGGGAGGGGATATGGGGATATATGTATACGTATAGCTGATCCACTTTGTTATACAACAGAAACTAACACAACATTGTGAAGCAATTATACTCCAATAAAGATGTTAAAAATATATATATTAAAAAAAAAATTACTCCAAAACACAGAGACAAGAAAACACAAGCCATACTCAAAACAATCAATGGACACCAACCCCCAGACGACTCACATTCTGGAATTAGCAGCAGGGATTTTACGGTAGGTTTAATAAGTATGCCCAAGGACATAAAAGTATATTGTAATGAAGGACGAGAGGAAATCTTGACAGAAAAAAAGAAACGATTA